TCGTTCATTAATCCGTTTAAATCAATAACAGATGAAAATTAATATCAAATATTCTTCTTTCGGCAAATCAGTAAGGAGTGGTAGACTGTTGAATTTGTTATGCTTTTATCTTATCCATTTGGCGATTCTCTCCATATTCATAAAGAAAGTAAAGAACCACTTTCATTTCTGCCTTTCCCAAAAAAAGATTTGAATTTTTTTCGCCTTTCCTGGGAAAAAATTTGAATAGCTGGATGTTAAAGTTCATAGGTTTTCGATGTCAGACTGTGAAATGGACTTGTAATAATCACGAAGCGATCAGTGCGGAAAGCTGAACTACTGGCGGAAGAAGCAAGCGGTAACTCATAATATCTAAAGAAAGAAACTGAAAAGAAAATTGCCATTTCCGGAACTGGACATAAGTGAAAAACGATTAGTTGATCAAAATGCTTGGTTCTCGAGAACAGTATTTTCTCAGCACTGAAATGGAAGAATTTAGAAAAGGAATAATTGAGGAAAAATAGAGAAATAATGCCGGGTGAGCAGGAACAACAGTGGGTAACAAAAAACTATAATCGAATAGAGGCCAGGAAAATAAGTGACAGAAGTAAGTGAGGAAAGAAAATTTGCAAAAAGAAATTTGAACATGGCCAGATAATTGAGCTAAGGACTGATTATTAAAAAAAAGAAAGGATAAACGTAGAACAGCTCAAAAAAACTAAGTTGGGATATATAAGTGACCGGACAAACGATCACAAATTAGAACAGGATATGATGGACATGTATGCGAATTATGAGGCGTTGAAGACTGATCCGAAAAGATTGTTACAGCTTACACCATCACAAAAGTTCAAAATTGTACAAATCATTAAATACGCAGGAAGGATGATTATAAAAGACTGCCGAATTGGAACATTGCAGATGAACCAATCGATAAGAACTATACTGTTACCAACAACACGAGAAACAAACTTATTATAATATAATGCATTTCCCCGATCACAAATATTTTGGTTGCAAAACTGAACTGTTAAATGAACTAATAAAGGAATTGAAGAAAAGGCTAGAACTGGAAGTGTTTATGCTTCGAAAAGGAAGCGAATCATTTGAAGAGTTTGAAGGAAGAATATTGAAAAGACTGAAGTCAGAAAAAGAGAGAAAACAAAATATCATGTTGGACCAAAAACAGTAGCTGAATTTATAGAAACCACAAAACAATATATGCAATGATTCACTGTAGGTAGAGTGAAATGTTTGGAAATCATTATAACCAACAATCATTGTAGAAAACTCTGAACATTACACATACAGTGAATAGAGCATTAACAACTATAACAACGCAAAATGACTTGAAGAACCAAACGTAATAATTAACTAAATTAGAAGAAAGGACTTAAAATATCAAATACATTAGATAAGAATGCCAGATTATATGATGAAAGCCAAATGGCCAAATCTTAGAATCAAAATGAACTGCATATAGATTTTGGTCAAAAAATCTTGATAACTTAGAATAATGCAACAGTTTAATATCCTATTGCAGGAGAATAATTGATAGGATACCTGTTGATAATGAAACAGGGGTCACCTATACAATACAATATATTTCGAGAGATTTATTCTCAAATGAACAGAAAAGGGGATCGTTTGAGACTTACGGATCAATTAATAATAAAACTATAATGAGAAACTCTGATATGTACAGATTATAGAAGGACATACGATTCTTCTTCATTACTTTTGGATCCTTTCTTAATGTCTCACAATCCGGAACCAGCTTAAGCGGTTAATAGCTATGATTGAACTTAAAAAGATACACATAAGATGCGGGATTTCAAGAAGACTTTTCCTTAGCTTTATTTTTCGTAATCACAATGATACTCTTCAACAGAATAATAAAAAAATCCAAACGTTAGTATAAAATCGTTAAAGATGAAAGTAAAATCGATTATCTATTCTATCTTTTTTACCAATGAAAATATAATTTAAAATTATATGAAATCATAAATAAAAATTCAGTGATTAAATATGGTAGACTTCTTACATGTGAAAACTGGGCTAGAAAAAGACTGAAAATGAAGAATTGTATAAATATCGCGAAATCTTTCAGGATAACGCTGTAAAATATAAAAAAGATCTGCTGAGTACTTTAGAAGAGTTAGGAAAACTGTAAAACTTTCTTTTTTCTTCAAAATCCCTTAAAAAATCCCGACCGAACACATCCCGCAGCTATGCAAACAACTAACGATGATAATAATAATAATAATAATAATAATAATAATAACGCCGGTTGGACGACATATCTGTCGCTGTCTGATCACACATTGAAATGACACCGAGTGAAAGGAAAAAAGGAACAAAACATCGTTTCGGCTATAAATTGATTTGATCGTTAGTATGCTCTATTGCCACTATGGTTTCCACGTCAACACAATGCCGAGATATTGCATAATTCCACATTGCTGTTGCGCAGATGAATTTTCTGCTCACAGATATATTTTGTTTTCCTTCTTTCCTTCAATTCTTGAATGATACCTTCAAGGAATGAGAACTCACTTTTTCTCTTTTTTTATGAAAAATACGACTCCCTACTTCCATTTTTTTGCCATTTTATGATTAGAAAGTTATTTTAAAAATGAAAAATGAGACAAATGTATTGACTGATTGAGAATTATTGCACATTTCACGCGAGATGTCCCACATTGATCTGTTTGTCCCTCTTTTCCTTTCTAAATTATTTTTATGCAAATTCCTGCCACATTTATCATCTTAATTGGGTCGCAACTGTCCATAACAAGTACAGCCAGCCGTTTGGTCTGCACAGTTTCTCTCATTTGCAATTTACAATTTAGTGATCCGAACTTCAATCAAATTACGATGATCCTCATTTATGATGTGATATTTCATCGTAACATCCTCAAAAATGCATTGATAACGCTTTGTTTAGTTAATTAATGAAGAAAAAGAAATTAATTTATAATAGTCTCAATAAAAAATATTTCCCTATGCATCTATCTCATAATGAATTCCTTGTTGAATAGAAAATCTATTTGAAATTTACAGAGCAAAGATCAGGTAATGTTAGAAACTGCTGAAAAATAACAATGTATAGAGAGATAAATTTATACAATGTCATAAAAATACAACAGTGCTTTCTTTCTTTCATCATCACAATGGATATGTGCTTTGAGCACGTATATATGTATAATGATGAATGGATCCGTCACAGAATGAAATAGTTGCATAAAATAATGCCACCGGATATTTAATGCAGCTATTTCATTAAATGGGCAAAAAGTGTGATGATCAAAGGGTGAATAAAATATAAATATGCCACAAATAATGATCAAGAACAGATACAGAAAAACGGATAAAAACTCGAGAGAAAATGGCAAAAAAGCGAACGATGCAGTAAGATACATCTTTTTCCATAAAAATTATATAAATCTAGAGAATTTGAAATTTTCAAACTTCAAATTTTCACGATGAAAACTGAAAATGTGAAAAATAAGGGAATGTCGATTAAAAAAATTTTTTCAATGTATGCATTTGTCACTAAGCATAATTACATCCACCGGTGCATACAAATTGTATAAACGAACTCTGAGAGAAAAATTCCAAGCCGTTGCTATGTGCCTAGTTATTATGACAAAGACAAAAATAAAATACGAATATCAAATTACTTGAAATTTTTTTTAAGTTAATAATTTTGCAGATGCAAACCCTAAGTTTATAAGCAATAGATTAATTATAAAGGTTGTTAGCATTACATAAAGTAAAATCTACTTCTAAATCGGACAGTGCAGCACATTTTAGGCACTTTATGGCTTTAGAAAATTATTCGAAAAAAAATGGCTTATTCTGAAAGCGAACAGAGCAAGAGGCACAGAGGAAAAAAAATTTCTTATTTCGAGATTTCAACAACACGAAATAAATTTGCTTACACATTGTTGAATTGGATGAGTATAGACGTGTGAATCAGTACCACGCGATGCTTTGAAGAAAAAAAAACACCGGATTTTCAGCTGATACTTCAAGGATGAAATCAATGAAAAAAGTCGATTAAAAAAAAACCAGAAAATTCATTAACACAGCAAAAGTTGGAAGAAAATATCACTTTCGGAACGGTACCGTATACGTATACTGCAATAATCATAACTAGAAATATGAGTTAAAGATAAATTTTAGGAAAGAGTGGAATCATGAAACACAACGAAAATCCAATTCAAGAAAAAAATAATAATACTTAAGCGTTTTTGTAGGGAAGTGAGCATAGATCCACTGATACAATATCCCAATTGATTGGATTACATCTCGCATAAGCGAGAAAAAATTGTGGGAACACTTTATGCAGCAAAACTTTCGGAAAAATTCCAGCAAATATGAAGCAAACGATATACTAACACTGGAAATTTTCAAAACATTCTGCTGCTAAAAATGCAAATTTTTAAATGCAAAATCGAATTAAATGAAATGATCGATTAGTGAAAGTCAGTAATTCAAAGTTCTGCTAATAATTTACTGTACCGCACAAGCCCGCAGGAGATTTGCATAGACTCAATGTGTACAACGACTATGCGCACTCACTGAACTCACTACAAATAATATAACATCATAGGCAAGCAACTAAAAATACAGTAAAACTAAAACTTGAAGTTAAAAGGAAGCACGAAAATGATCGCGACTTTCATTTCATCTTGAATCCTGTTTTCTTTAATAAGTTCTAATTAATTTTTTTACATTACTAGAATATTTTCAGAACTCTTAAAAATCGATTTCTGTTATTGCTTTAATACGATAAGATCAATACGGCTAGCTAAGCCTATACAATTATCATACCAAGCATTCGTTTAGAATCAAAAGGAAATTTTTGAACAAGATGTATATTAGAAATGACAGTCAGCTGTATTCACGGAAGATGGTGCACCCGTTCGATGAACATGAACGCATAGCCAACCCCGTCCATTACGTTTATGCCACACGCGGGTCTCCTGTGCCTGCCTTGATCGTGCATCACCATTCCTGAACGCGCAACACAAACTTTTTTTTTCAGATTGTTTATCAAAAAGAAAATTTTCCAAAGTTTAGATTGCTTATATCAAAACATAAGCAAACAATGAACCACGAGAAAGTTCTTCTGACCAATAATTAAATAAGAAGTTGAAATTTCACTTATGAAAATTACTGCTTAAATGTTTACGATATCAAAAAGCAATAAGCTTACTTATCAATGAACTGCGTCAATCGAATATAAGCGATACATGCACCCTCATCACCCATTAGATGCACATTTGGATTGAGCAGCGTTGTGTGAATTTTTGGTCCACGTATTCCACTATCTGAATTGCTTGTAAGCAATACAATAAGTAAATTCAGGAAATAGCCAACTAAACAAACCGAATAGCTATCTCTCCCTATCAACGTCTCTTCAATGACTTTCAAAAAAGTGTGCCTTAAATTTTGAAAACATACAGTGAAAACAAAATGCGAATGTAAGGGTTGTGAGAACTGAGCATGTAATTTAATACAAAAACCTGAATTTGTTGAATTCAAAATTAGACAAATGAAATTGCCTTCTAAAGATAAAAACGAAGTGTTTTTTTACGCGGTTAAATGTCGGTATAGAAACCAACATTTTAGATTTAAAAAATGACTTACTATTATCAAAGTAAAATTTGTGGAAATCCATTCCTTCAATCAGATTACCAAGCGCTTCAGGCTCAAAGCATGTCATACATGGATCACAGAGCCTTCTGAAATTTTTGAAAAATTTTGCCATCGACGTGTAACTCATTATTAAAAATGTTGATCCACCTAAATGTTAGCAAAATAATTTTTTTCTAATTCTATGTAAGCGGTAATCGCACCTTTACTGGAAAATAACGAATGAAAGACATTCCGAATTTGCATTCTAATAGCTGATAAAATATGGTAGAGGAAATTTTCTGACACCTGGAGATATCTGGATAATAATAAAAATACATATTATATGTGAATGTATATACAACGAACTTAAGTGCAAAATTGTAAAAGAACTATGAAACTCACGAATAGGACTCATAGTCTTTACATGAAATAGCGTCCAACAGTTGCTGTGTTACGCGAACAATTTCTTGTTTTTGGACTGCAAGAATGAGAAAAAATTTATTGCATTCGCATTTTAAAAATTGGGACGAAGATTTTTTTGAACACGAAAATTTCAAGTGCAAAACCAAAATGACAGAAAGTGTATTTGTATTTGTGACTAATAATGAAGGAGTGTGGATGATTTGCAAAAAAGAGTAAAATTATAAGCCTGATAAACAGACTGAATCGGTATTCAAACGAAAATTTATATACTAAAAACCAAACAAATTTAGGAATGATAACAAATGTAGCGGTAAATGCCAAATACTTGAAAAGATAGATGTTTTTAATTATTTTTTCATTAGTACTTAATAAAAAAGCCAGGGAAAAGAAGCCTTAATTTAGCCATCAATAAATGCCATTGATTTCTATCATCACTACACATACACACACACACACAATTTATTTCTGTTGGATTTTTTCATCATTGCAATCAACATTCTACAATCATTTGAATAAGATTTGCAACGACTATTAACAATACTACTTATTTTTTCATTGTTTTCAACAATAATCTCAATTAAGCTAAGTGTTACCTATCCAACCAGTCCAATGATAAACTCAATAATTATTCTGATACGATAGCGCATAAACTGTATATTGCTTTTTGTATATAAATATATTATTTATTGTGAGCATGATTTATTCTGTTTCAACTACTTACCGGACTATAAATTCATCTCTCCAGAACAGGAAAAAAGTATATGCGTTACCTGCAGAAATAGAGAAGCCATCTAATTTATAGTAACATGGCGTGCATCAGGATATTTTTTTCAATTACAAATCAAGAAGCAATATTTCATCAATGTCCGAAAAATATGGCGATTCGAAACTGGTATAAAAATTCCTGCTAAACAAGTAATGAAGATATATACACTCATATAACAGTGAGTCAACAAAAATTAAATAGTATAATTGATTTTTTTGTACAATTCATACGAAACTAAAAGATAGCAATTTTTATCGCTTTCAGTTATCGATTGTAGGAAATATTTAATTTATGAAATATAGTGCAAAACTTCCTATTAAACTTCCTACTATCCTATTAAAATTAATTTACAAACTAATTCTTTCCGCAAAAATCGCGTATCAACAAAAGTTCATTCTTGCTTTATGTGTAATAAGATTACGAAGGCAATTGAATTGTTTAGCTATCTTAATCAAATGATATAAGTCGAAATATACTAACAAAGAAGCACGGACAATTTGAGATTTTATACTTCTTACAGCAGGAAAAATTATAACAGATTAGGAATCACAGTAATTTTAGGACACTGTAATAAATCGAATTTCATCAACAGATTATTAATTCTTTTTCATTAATGAAAACATGCAAAAAACATGCAATTTTTTAAAAAAAGTACGTACGAATGAGGAACTAATAATAACTAATTAATTATAATTTAATTATAATATAATAATACGTCAGAATGTTATACAAAAATAAAAAAATTACAGTGTACATTCTTGGGTCTTCATCGCTGCTGTGATCGTTGTATTTATCATCCTCTTGATCCTCATTACATATTTTCTGAGGAGTAAAATGTCGG